CTTACGTGTGTGTGTGTGTGTGTGTGTTGCTTACGTGTATATATATATATATAATATGTGTGTGCGTCCCTATATATCTATACATCTATATATATATATATATACATATGTATATATATATATATATATAATAATGTGTTATTTATTATGTGTATATTATAATATATACATAATTTTATATATATATATATATGCGTAAATATATTGCGTAAATGTATATATATATATATGTGTGTGTGTGTGTGTGTGTTAGTTTGTGTTTGTATGTATATATATATATATGTGTGTATGTATGTATGTATGTGTGTATATGTATGTATATATATCTACCTATAGCTATACATATTTATATAAATATATATATATATATGTGTGTGTGTGTGTGTGTGTGTGTGTGTGTGTGTGTGTGTGTGTGGCTGAGTGGGTGTGTTTGTGTATGAGGCGTGGGTGTGTTTTGTGTTTTTCTTTTTCTTTGTGTGTTATAAAATATATTTCTAAAAATTGTGGTATAATGTTGACTGTGACCCCACCTGTTCAACATATGCACGATCTCGCTTCTTGAAGGTTTCGCGTGAGCACAGCTTTGGAACGCGCAACAATGTTCACGGAGTTGCTGCGAGTTGCAGCTAAGGATCGGCACTTGAATGAGCATGTAATTAAGTTCATGGGCTTATGATTCCTGCCCCAGCAACCGGCCTGCTTCTCGACGTAACATGGATTCACATCATCTTATGATATACAACGTTTAAGTAAATAAAGGAGCCCTTGACGCTTGACCCAGAATTCTGTACGATCATGAGTTAGCCTGCTGAAATGCCGGTCGCAGCACATTCACTCAACGCTGATTCATAATACGATCAATCGGTGCAAAGAGAACAGTTTTCGTCGCTACAAGGTTTCTTCTATCATTTATATAACCCCGAGAATTCTATATACGAAACACAGCTACTGTAGATATGGTTCAATGAAGTCCTCTCGAAAGCAAAAGCTGTTTCAGACTGAGACAGAAGCTAATTTGTGCATGCCAACTCAGAATATACATTTTGCCGGTCTGTATAGCTGGTGTTACAATCAAGTCGAAGAAGTGGACTTCTTTCATACTATCATGATTACTTTTATATACTGATTTGACAATAAGAGTCATCACAGGGCTGTATAATGTATAAGCATTCCTTGATATTCTGATGGCAAAACAACAAGTGAACTTTTACTATTAACCCGAGCAAGGCTATAAAAACATACCAGATCGATTTCGATTTATTTCCAAACTCCTTCATGAAATTGCTAACATACACAATCTCAGTGTTCCGAATCCAAACTGTGCTAAGCTCGTTCGCAACTATTGCTACGGAGCTTCATAGTTAAAAAAACTTAAAAAGTAAATATCACAAATTGGTATATGATTATTCATTGCTTTATAACGCAACCTCGTACAACAAGGCTGCTATATACAGTTTTAAGTATCTACTCCGTGAGAAGTTTGATTTGGTCGTATAGCACAAGCACCATAGCAGAACCTACAGTTCGCAGGGCATTGGCACCAGCTCCCTTGAAAAGAGCGGCAGCACCCTCGTTTTTGATAACCTTACCGAAGCAGTCAATGGTTCCCCTGTACATCCACTCGGCCTTGGGCTTATCTGACTGCATCTGCAGACGACGTCTGACAGTGTCCATGGGGTATGAAGCATAACCAGCAGCGATGGCAGTGAACTGGGC